GCTTACTTTTTGGATTTCATTCAAATCTTGTTTGAATTCAAAATTTTATTGAGGAGAATTTTATTCAAACACTAATTTGATGACCACCTGTGGGTCAACCGTGGGTTGACCACCCGTGGGTCAACCCGTAGGTTATCTACCTGTTTTTACCCAGGTTACTACAACTCTAACCTGAGTTACCCATCTACCTGCAGGTGACCCGAGTTGTACCCACTTGGGTCCAATCCCTAACCATGTCTTATTTGCGTAGTCACCTCATTCAGAAGCTTTCTTCTCAAATATTTATCGCTGACATGTCAGCTTCTTTCATAGCGGTTTTGTTTAGGCTCAAAAATAACAAATTTATGATTCGATCACATAAGCCCAAATGCTTACAGTACAAATTCGATATATAATTCAGAATTTACTGATTATAACTAGTAAAAAAAGGTTAAAGCAGAAATCATTTATCATGTTTTTTTACTCAACAATATGTGTCGTATGTGAGCACAATATTTTATTAGTAATAAAGATTCACATGACAGGATTTGTGTAATAAATTTATTTTATACATCAACAGTTGTAATTCTAAAACCTTCCAAACCAGAAAGAGCATTTTCTTTTGACATTACGTGTATTGCTAACAAGTTGATTGAAACTTGGCGTAGATAAGGTTTCACATTTAAATGGAACTTTTGTTGATTGTTCTTTTGGGTTACATAATTTATCATAAAAATTAACAAATGATTCTCGAAAAATATCTCATACTGCCAGAAAAGTTTCTATATCATCAATAAAATGTGTCATGGTCTTTACTGAAGTGGGAATCGAAGCTTGACCAATATGGTATATAAGATATAGTTCCAGTGCATTAAGTTCTATTACGTAAAAATCAATTGTATATTCTAGAAAGCATATGATGAAATTATTTTAGTATTACATGAAGGAACAAAGCAACTATTATTTTAATTTATCTTACCGATATATTGAAATCCTAAAAGCTTAACATCTGCACCTTTATCTATGGCTGAATTGATGCATTCCTTCATCAAAACACCAACGTGGATTAAATTATTGCAGTTTTTGTGTACATTTTCTTTTTCAGCAGGGGACGTTACTTCTCCTACAAATAATGTTCCGCTTGAAGGAGATTTTTTTATAGAAGGATATAATATTTCAAAATTATTTCGACAATATAAAAATAAATCAATTAATCTTGCCCATTCTGGTGGTTTATATGTTGGGACAAACGTCCACTGCTGAAAAAGAAAAGGTACCCAAAATTTTAGCTTTGACTTCAATATTCATGCTTACGCCAAATTCTCATTCCAAAATGATGATTAATATCTTTGGTTCTCAAGACTTATTAGACAAAATACATAAAATACTCTTTCCAACAAATAAACGAGAATTAGATGTGGAATGTGAATCTAAATTTAGGAGAATAATAAAGCAATCAATCAATGATTCATGAGACAGTGCTATTAAATCCTCAATAGCATACTTAACAGAAAATAATTCAAAGGAAAATCTAGGATTTGTAATTTTAGAAGGGTTGAGATTATTATCTAATTTGAAATTAAAAAGTCAACCAAGCGAAATGTCATTAATTACTAACTATCTGGACTATATAATGAAAGAATTACTTCATGAGCCTGACAAGCATAGAGTTGAGTGGCCGAATACAA